CAGCAGGTCTGACAGCATCTGTGAAGGTAAAAACAGAGTTAACGTTTTGGATTCAGTGACCCTTCCTCAGAACAGTTCTAAGGAAGGGTCACCGGACCCGAAACGTAAACTCTGTTGTTTCCTTCACAAATGCTGCCAGACCTGCTGAGCTTTTCCGGCAAATTTGTTTTTGTCCATTAAGTTCTGCCTGGTTCGTAGTGCCTGACATTGCTGCATATGAGCAAGGTGACATACCTCCTGTTTAATGTCCTCATCCCCCTCCGTGAAAAGTGCCCCTGCTCTCCCAGGTCATCAGCTTTGCCTTGTTTCCTGCTGTAGTTGTGCAGGGAACAACATGCTAAGATTATGAAGTGCACTCTGAGTGTATTGAAATGCCGCTTTATCCTGGTTCAAGCTGTGGAGTCTCATTATCAGCATGCTTATCATCTGCTCCACCATGGCTGTTATCAAAGAATGGACTGCATTGTACCTACACTGCCATAGTCAAGGGGTTGCAGAGCAGAGTCATCAGTCATGGTCGCAGTGGGTATCTTTTGTCTCCCAATAACCATCCTTGCAAGGCAGAGATAGTAGAAACTGCAGATGCTGGAGAATCCGAGACAACAAGGTGCAGAGCTGGATGAACACAGCAGGCCAAGCAGCATCATAGGAGCAAAAAGGCTGACGTTTCGGGCCTAGACCCTTCATCAGAAGGCAAGGCATCTGGACCCTCAACCACAGCAATCACAAGAGTTCTCAATGATACAGACATTGATGACAGCTCCCAGGCTGCTGTGTGCAAAGGTCCAACTGAAACTGATGATCGCAGATGACTTACATGTTGATTGAATGGAACCCCATTATGATGTGGCCCTCACAGCATGACGTGTGTATAGTGTTACAGAGAAGGGGAGGCTAAATGAAAGAAAATCCTTGATATTCATTTTATAAGTAACAAGTAGCAATTTATTTGTTTAACCCCAACCGTGAACAAATTACTAACAAGTAACAAATTACTAACAGAATTACTAACAAGCCAAACAATTACCCTTAACTATTAACTTATTCTCTAACTGAGCTAAATTCTACTGGTATGCAGTTCCAATAAACACAAGTCTCATTTATATAAACTCAAGTAATAAGAAAATAAGTTAAAACTTAGTCTCTCAAAGTCTACATGCCTTTCTTCTGCTGTTCTCAAGTCATAAATGCTTTTCTTCCGCTGACCTGGCTGTCAGGGGTATCTTTCTCTGTGAAGTCTTCTGTGAGGACCGTTAGCTAGAAGTGACGTGGTACTTTTTATGGATACATGGTGCTTGCTTAGCGATTTCTTGTGCGAGCTGGATGCTTATTTCTCAGATGGCAGTTAGCTCACACTGATTTTCAAAAACCTTCTCCTTATACATCTTGGATGACTTATCAATGTTCTTATAATAGCATTGGATGGAGGATGTCAGAACCATCAGATTTAAATTAAATTGGTTTTCAATCACTAAGTGCTTGATTTAAATTAATTGGCTGATTCCAGCTAGTTGCCAAAAGATCAAAACAAGCCTAAGGTTTCTAATCACACAGCCAATTGATACAAGTTTCAATTTCAGAATTGGCTGTACCTCATTTAATTCTTCCTGTATAAATCTCTGAGCTTCGAAAAGCATTTTACCTCTTAAAGGAACCATGTACTGTTCTCCCTTATCATTGTTTTATAAACAAATTCCAGATTCCTGTCTTCCAATTCACGATTATTCTACACAATGTTGTAACAATAGTTTGTTGTGTCTTGAATCTGGGAGAAGCCAACATTGTTGCCAAAGCTGTGATTTGGCATAGCCTTGATGCATTTGTAGGTGGACAATTGACACAGGTCTTGGGGACTTTTTCTCGGGTGGGTTCATGGAGTCAGGAATTGCCCCGATTTTGCTCTCGACACAGATGTACAAATTCAAGCCAATGTATTTATATTACTACTAGCCATTAGGCAGGATCATTTTTTTTGTAATCCTTGTAAAACAATCACTTTTCTGTGCAGTTTATTCTATTCTGATTGCTTCCCACACAATGAGCTGAACTTTTTCAAAACAGGCTAGGCCCTGACATTGGCTGCAGATGCATTTTGGTAACATTTCTGTCCTCCATCAAAATTGCTCAGGATCACCCTGGACTGCAAATATAACCACCACCTTCACTTTACAGTCTTCTTAAACCTCTTCCTGTACCTTCTATGTTGAGTTCATGGGCCTCTGTCACTAAAATTGAGATGACCTAATCAGCTGTCTTTATCTCTTCTCCTGTCCCACTAGACAAAAAGATAGGCCTGAACTCTCATCTTTCTTTTGTTTCTTTCTGTTTTCCCCTCATGGAATCCCCAAACTCATCATGTGCATGAGGCCCTTTCTGTTCCCTTGACCCTATTTCCTCTAAACTTCATTTGTGTTCATTGATTTAAGTTATAATGTTAGCAGACTGTTTTCTTGGTTCTCAAACACAAACAAAACAAAAATTGCTGGAAAAGCTCAGCAGGTCTGGCAGCATCTGTGGAGAGAAATCAGAGTTAATGTTTCGAGCCCAGTGACCCTTCCTTAGAACTGGTTCTTTCCTTGGTTCTGTTTCCGTTCCTTTTAAATCTGCTGTCATCAGCTGTCTCCAAAAACCCAACCTTCTGTATTTACAGACTATCTCCCATCTTCAACTTCCAAGATGCTTGAACATGTTGTTGCCTTTGTATTTGTGCCCATTTTTTCTGGGAATTTGTGTTTGAATCAATCCAGTCAGGTCCCAGCCCCTGCCACAGCACTGAATCCCTCATCCTGCAAAAATGAATGACATCCATATGACAATGATCATGGGAAACTATGCCTTCTCATCATTATTGATTTATCTACTGTATTTAACACAGTTGACCGCATTGGTGATTTTATCCTAAGCCTTAATTGACATCTTCAGAATTTCACTGTTGAGTGATGATTACCTAATTGCCATGTGTTTGCCCCTCATTAATACACCAGCCTCCCTATTTATACATCACTTAAATTCTCTCTTTCCCTGAGAAACTAGACAGTGGAAGTTCGGAACATGTAAATCAGAGGGATATCCAGTGGCTACAGATGATTGAATGCTTGTATTGGCCATTGATCATTGAATACTTGTGTTGGCCATCATGCAACTGTTTCTTCGTATGCTCAATGGACATCATCTTCCTTGACCTATCGTCCACACCAGCCATGATTGGCAAACCGCCAACCTCATCACATCACCATGCTTGCTTTCGAAGTAGCTCGCACGTCACTTCAACCCTTTAACACTTTGAACCCCAGGCACATCTATAGATTTATAAGCCTCACTGTCATTTTCTTCAACTTGCTGACAGACATTGCAAGCGCTGATTAAGGATATCTGGACAATGAGCATCAACCTATGTAATCTGCTGGAAGAAGACTTGTGCTCAGAAGGACGGTCCCATCCCGATGACTGTTGTTAACGGCTGTACTGCATTTTCTTGCATTTGCTTATTTCAAGGAGCAGCTGGGGATCTGTGTGGCATCACCCAGTTTTCAAACCACAAATCCATTGGAATGTAACTGATACCATTTTACTCCAGATCGTGTCTATCCTTCGCCCTTTATGAAAAATGTAAAGCGGCTTGAGCAGTAGGGTTCTCAGTGATTGCTGGCTTTGCCCAGGTGCAGGATGCTATTGACTGCACCAATTTGCTTTGAGAATGCCTCATTACCAACCTGCAGAGTTTATCAACAGACAAAAAGCTTCCATTCCCATTGTTGCTGAATTTTGGAGGTCTGCACCAGATAAGCTGGAAGGCCTTGACTCTTTTATGATGGAGAACTCATGGATTCCAGTGTCCTTCCAAGAACCCAAGCAATGTAAAATTGGCTGCTAGGCGATAAATGGTATACATCCTAAACTTGGCTCTTGACACCATTTTAAATACTTCAAGTCGATGCAGAGTGAGGATACAGCACTGCTGAGACTTGCACCAAGGCCATAGAAGACTCGACCATAAGCATTCTTAACATGACGTTTCAAAGCTTGGACTGCTCCAGCAGGGCCTTGCAGTATAACC